GGGGGGGGTGGGGTCAGAAATAAAAGAATAGTCTGTATGTCTGTCTGAAAAACCAAAGCCGATTTCCTGCCTGAGGGCGCAGATTTTACGAGTCGGAGGAAACGGGATTTGTGATCTAGAATACACAACCCGATGATGATGATCAGCTGGAGCCGGAATTCTATGATATTAGATTGTAAGCCTTTGTGGTTGGGGCTGCAGGTTTCATCCCTCATCTCCTAGTTCTTGTGGTCAGTCTCTCTGCAGTTAAAGGGGAACTCCACTGTGACAGATCTGAGACTCCGCCATGTAACTCCGCCTTTTGTGCTCCCCCCTCTGCAGTGAAGACGTGTGTAAGCGTGGATTCACCGTCATCATCGACATGCGCGGATCGAAGTGGGACCTGATCAAACCTCTACTGAAGACGCTGCAGGAGGCGTTCCCGGCGGAGATCCACGTGGCGCTGATCATAAAGCCGGAGAACTTCTGGCAGAAGCAAAAGACCAACTTCGGCAGCTCCAAGTTCATCTTCGAGGTGAGTGTCTGCCGGCATTGACATCCCCGGCGATTGATTATCAATAGATGACGGATTGTTATTGATTAGTGTCATCAATAAGTGATTGTCTGTCTGCCCATTCCAGACATTAGTCTTCATTTATTTTTTAACTGAACATTTGCAACAGGAAGCGGGAGGGTGACAACGCTCATTCACTGTATCTATGGAGGAGCAGCGTTGTCACCCAAGGACAGGACTACACAACACCTCACACCACTAATGCTTTAACCTCCATCTTCATGCAGTTGTTGCCCCCGATCACTGCCAGCACTCAGGCCCTCATGAAGGGGGAGTTTTGCGCCCCCCAAACCGTATTGGCTTTATCTTCTGACCTTTTAACAAGATCAGTAAAAACCTTCACAGTACTTGTTACCAGGGATGCACCGAAACCGGTATTTTGGTACCGAGTACCGATATTTTTTTTCCCGGTACTTGCCGATACCGAATACTGAGTACCGGAATTCCCATTCAGGAAGCCAGGCGGCCTGTAATGACTCGCCACCCGGCTTCCCGATTAACAAGGAAGCCGTCCCCATGCTTCTTATCACTATGTGACGGCTTGCTGGCCAATCATGGAGGTGACGAGGGACGAGATAACGAGGGAGCATTGAGTCGGCTTCCCGGCCAATCAGAAAGCCGGGCGCTGCGTCATTACACACAAGTGACGAGAGAACATGGAGCCGCTTCCCGGCCAATCAGAAAGCCGGGCGCTGCGTCATTACACACAAGTGACGAGGGAGCATGGAGCCGCTTCCCGGCCAATCAGAAAGCCGGGCGCTGCGTCATTACACACAAGTGACGAGGGAGCATGAAGCCGGCTTCCCGGCCAATCAAAAAGCCGGGCGCTGCGTCATTGCACACAAGTGACGAGGGAGCATGAAGCCGGCTTCCCGGCCAATCAGAAAGCCGGGCGCTGCTTCATTACACACAAGTGACGAGGGAGCATGAAGCCGGCTTCCCGGCCAATCAGAAAGCCGGGCGCTGCTTCATTACACACAAGTGACGAGGGAGCATGAAGCCGGCTTCCCGGCCAATCAGAAAGCCGGGCGCTGCGTCATTACACACAAGTGACGAGAGAACATGGAGCCGCTTCCCGGCCAATGAGGAAGTCGGGCAGCGTGTAATGACGCACTGCCCAGGCTTCCTGATACAGGAAGTATCGGGCTAGGCATCGGAGCGAGTACTCGCCCAAATGCTCAGTATCGGTACCAATACTAGTATCGGTATCGGTGCATCCCTACTTGTTACCAACTTGTGGCCCTCCCATCCTTTACACTCTACTCATACTATTGTGGGGACCCCTAGGGGGCACCCTGGAATGACAGAGCGCTGTCTTTCAGAGCTGAGGATCGTAATGTTTTTTGCCTACTTTTGGATCAGTGCTCCAAACACGTCTTCTGTAAAAGCATAACGTGGGGGAGGTGTTTTGTAGTCCACAGAGGGGAAGTGAAAACAATGTAGCTGATAAGAGTGCAGCACAGGAAGTTATCAGCTCACAGAATTTCTGGCAGGATCACATTTTTTTGCACTTACTGAACAGAAGATCATTGTTGGGGTTCACACACACACCCTAGCTTCATTGTATTGGGGGCTCTGGATGAAGAATGTTTGTCTTGGATATTTATTTTTATTGATCGGCGATCGGCCGGAGTTCTCTCGGGACAACATTCCTCATCCAGATCCTCCGAGTGTTCCGTGTTTGTAATGATACATTCAATAGGAAGTTCCATATTTGTTTGAGTATTCCTGCTTGTGCCGATCCCTGAGCCGCGGTGTCTTCTCTCCCGCAGACCAGCATGGTGTCGGTGGAAGGTCTCGCCAAGCTGGTGGATCCGTCTCAGCTGACGGAGGAGTTTGACGGTTCCCTGGATTACAATCACGACGAGTGGATCGAGCTGCGTGTCTCCCTGGAGGAATTCTTCAATAGCGCCGTCCACCTGTTGTCCCGGCTGGAGGACCTGCAGGAGATGTTGGCCAGGAAGGAGTTCCCGGTGGACGTGGAGGGCTCCCGGAGGCTCATCGACGAACACACGCAGCTGAAGAAAAAGGTCATCAAGGCCCCGGTGGAGGAGCTGGACCGGGACGGGCAGAGGCTGCTACAATGTATCCGATGCGGGGACGGGTTTTCGGGCAGGAACTGCATCCCGGGAGGGGCGGACTTCCAGAGTCTTGTGCCAAAGATTACCAGCCTCCTGGACAAACTTCACTCCACGCGGCAGCACCTCCACCAGATGTGGCACGTGCGCAAACTCAAACTGGATCAATGCTTTCAGCTGCGTCTGTTCGAGCAAGATGCGGAAAAGGTAAGAAGGCGGCTATGAGCGGCGGGGAGACGCATGGCATCAGCTGCCCATAGAATGCTAATACAAGCGTCACTTATTACAGTTCAGATGTAAACCACCCCATACAGTCTCTTCTATCTCTGGGGGACCCTATAAGGGAGATTATGAGGGGCCCCCACCATCCCTGTGCTGGGTTCCCGGGCCTGTACACCCGCTGTGCCCATTATGAGGGGCTCCCACCATCCCTTCTGTATGTTGTATATATGTGAGATGATGGGGTGTCACCAGGCATTGGGTGATCAGTCGGTGTGGTGACTTGTAGTGTGTACGGTGCTGGGATGATTGGAGGAGATAAGTGGCACACGTCAGACTTGGATTGTTCATACGGGGAGGTCATGTGATCTTTATTTTCCTGCTTTCATGTCCCCTCCTCCCTGTGATGTATGTTTAGAACAATCAGTATAATTTC